CAGCCTATATGACTATGAGACCAGAAGAACTAGATGGTGCCCAGCTACCACTGTCAACCACTTGGAAGGGGATCTATGTAGGAGATCCTTGAGAGAGAGGGAGAACAATGTGGAACAAGACTCAAAATCATTTGGAGAAAAAAAACGGGGGAGACCAGGTTTGCTGATCTGATAGAGCCCGGTGGACCACTGAGGCTATGGCCCCTAGCTGTCCTTCAGGTCTGGAATTGAACCCATGCCTGTGGCTTCCAGCCAAACAAAACACAGGCATATGAGTTGAACATGTGCCTGATGTAGATGCACTCCTTGGAGAGAACAATCATGGGAGAAAGAAGGGCTGCTTATGCAGAGGGAGACAGCTCAGGGCACAGGAGTACATAGAGGGATGGATACAGGGAAGAGGTAACTATCAGGAGGAAGTAGGAGTGGAGCTGTTGCATTGTGGTAAATTGTGGTCAATGTCACGAGACAAAGTATATGTGAACTGCTGTATGGATAGCGGATTTGCTCTGTAAATTTTCACCCAAATCACAATTTAAATAAAAAATGAGATAGACAACAGATGCTAATACCAACCAATGTGTCCACAATACTGCATTGCCATTAACACCAAACACCAGCCTACAGATGAACACATAAACACCAGAGAGGATAAAATGGGTAAATCAGTGAACAAGCATATACTCTAGACCAAGGACAGATTCAGCTGAGGTTAATCTTACACAGACACCAGTGATACAAAATACCTGCACTCCTTACAGAAAAAACAGAAGACAGACAGAGTAATCCATCACAGACAACCAGACACTATGGGAGAGACATCCAATAGATCTACCGTCTCAGGACCATAATACTGGGGGACACCTGACTCAATTGGCACAGCAAAATACATAAAAGCCTTGCTCCCCATCCTACATTGATGAGTAGTGATTGGGGTCTTAAAAGCTTTCAAGCAGCTATCTAAGATGCAGTTAACCGTCTCCTAGCATCAGAAGCAAAGAAGAATGAAAAAAAAAAGGGCATTTGGAAGCAATCAGCCATAGGACATGATGGCCCTCAAGACCAGACAAAGTAGATGGTGCCCAGATACCAATGCCAACCACTCAAGAAAGGATCAAATCTGGAGACCATGGATAGAGTGGGAGGAAAAACATGGAATAAAATCCAAAAACTCAATAATGACCAGAATTGCTGGTCAGATGAAATCAGGTGGGACTCCTAAAACTATAGTACTGGAATACATTCTGCACCTAGAATAAAACTCACCCCCAGAGGCAGGCTCTCACCCCAACAGTTAACAAGATGTACACGCAGAACACTCAACCCAGGATGACACACCACATACTCTATGGTAATACATCCCTTAGAGCAATCGACCACGGGGCACGAGAGGACCAACATTCAAATTGAGGAAATTCAGGGCAAACAGGAGTGCATAAATATGAGGAGAAAAGGGGGAAGGTTACTGGGTAGGGAGGGGAGGAGACTGGGTTAGGGTTGGACATGGTAAATGGGGAATGAAACTAAATGTACACGTAATGTTGAATGTAAAACAAGCTCTTAAAATAAATAAGAATCTCTTAAAGAAATAGCTCATTCTGAATCTAAGACCAAAAATATACAAGATGAGCCTGAAAACCTCTTAACCGACAGCCAAAAAATAACAAAGACTACTAGGGTGGCAACAAAAGAATCTGAAAGATTCTCACTGACCAAAGATGGAAAATTCTAAGCCTCTCACAGTAAAGATGAAATTGTAATGGATTGACACTTCTCTGGTATGTTTAAATTTGTAACTATACCAAAAAATAAAAATAAAAAAGGGACACTAGTGAATCAAACTAATTCATAAATCAAGCATGTATTCTGCTTATCCTATGTGAAAAGTACCACTGAACAGCACCAGATGATAATATGTGCCTCTTTTTATGTGTTCCAGTAACACATAAAAAAGAAATGACAGGAGGAGACAGTCACCATTTCACAACTCCCAAATGGATTAAGCATGGAACAATAATGACTGCTAAATGAAAAAAAGAGAAGAAACCAAACATTAGGTGCCTTCTAATGGTAGTACAGAATGCTACTTATAGACTGCCAAAAGGAATGAAAACTCAATTCTGATCATACCTCTGGACTCAGCTATTAATCTGCAGGAAAGAGATGACAAGAACAGAAGAAATGAATTCAAGTCTATCATGAGTATGTTTGACACAATGTGGACCATAAAATCTATAGTTCAAACAGGCCAAATGATTCAATGCAAAAAGAAAAGGGATGGAGGGAGAATCTATAACTTAATAAAACCAGTTGCCATCAAGTCAATTCTGACACATAGCAAACCCATGTGTCTCACAGCAGAACTATGCTTTACAGGGTTTTCAGTGACTGGTTTTTCAGAAGTGGATTGACAGGCCTTTCTTCTGAGGCACATCTGGGTAACTTCAACATCTAACCAGAGACTCTCAACATTAAAAGACCCAAAAATTCTCAAATTTTAAAAAACTGGGCAAGATAACGCCATTGTGTAGAGATGTACTCTCGGGCAAAAAAAACAATAAGCACAAGTAAGAGATTCCAATAGAAGTTGGGAGAGGAGTTCCTTTCAGAGGGCAAAAGGTAGCTGTGGTAGGGCAGGACATGTAGACAACTTTGAGGGTGATTGAAAAAGTCTTATTTCTTGACTGAGTAAAATTTATGAGGGTACCCATTTTATAATAACTCATAATACTGTATCTCTGGTGAGTGGTTCTCTGTATGTTTTATAAGATACTTTTAACATTCTTTTGTATCAAATAGCCAGTTGCTGTCTTTGACTTTGACACTCTCTCTCTCTCTCTCTCTCTTTTCTTTTTTTTGTAATGGAAGTTTGTTCAACTCAAGATCCATACACTGCATTAATTGGTACATTTTTTTAAGTCTCTCTTAATTTGAGGTTCTTCCTTAACCCTTTTTCTTTTTCTTATAATTAAAACATGTTACTATCTCATTTTCTTTTTCTTATAGAGTTAAATCATGTTACTATAAAGTCTCCCACATTCTGGATTATGTTGATTACATTCCTGTGGTATTGCTTAACATTCCCTCTGTCCCCCGTATTTCCTGTGAAGTGCTTTTAGTTCTATGAGCTTTGCTCAGATTCCTGTTTGATTTTTTTTTTTTAAAGTATGGTTACACCTCCTAGGCTATTAATAGCCCATTATCTCTTTTTGTTTGCAAATTTTCTTTTCTCAAATGAAAACATATAGAATTTTTACTTTTTAAAATTTGTGATTTGAAGATTTAACATCAGTTTTGTTAATTATTTATAAACAAATCATAAGTCCTAAATAATTTCATACAAAATAGTCATAGCTCTGTAATACATTGCAATCATCATGTTACACAACTCTTATAAAATACTGTTATGAATAAGCACTAAACTCACTTGCTGGAACGCTTGAATTGTGGCTGAATAAGAATGAAGAGACAGACAAAATTTCAATAAATTCTGCTGTAGAGGTGACAGAAACCGAAATGCAGCCTCCAATATTGCATGGTAATAGGAATAATCAGTACCTGTCAAGGAGGAACATTAACCAAAATAATTATATTATATGACTAGAAATATTCAAATAAGACAGTTGAAAAGAATAAAGCTATATGTTACAAAAGGTACATAACTGTAAAATATTGCCAGTTTACTATCAAGAGTTTGAAGCTGAACTGCTATAAAATACTTAAAATTTTTTTGAGTGCATAATACAGTTCTTCCTCTCTTCCTTTTGTTCAAGCTATTCTGACACCTAAACTGCTCTCCTCCCACCTATCTGGATAATTAATTTCTATCTATAATTCAAGAAGAATTCAGCTATGCAATCACCTACTCTGGGAAGTCATCTTTGATTCCTACCCCATGCCTCACTGAACTAAACACATTGCTTCTAAAAAGCTTCCATGATACTTCTTTGCTTACTTCTTTCATTACTCTCTATCAGATCAGGGACCAAATTATTTATTCACTGTCTATTTATCTCCTCCCCCAGCCCCTATCAACTAGACTTTGAGCAAAGGTAAAGGCTGTGAAATTTTTCTTTGTATCTCCTGTACCTACCATGTAATCTACACAAACAACAAAACTGAGTAGCGTGATGGAGAAGTCGAAGGTATTAAAGGTCAATGATAAAATTTTAACGTTTGGAAAGAGGTATTTAAACAAAATGATTTCAAAAGGAAAAAAAAAATATATGTACTACTATGAAAAGAAAGATTCCCAGGATCTACTGTTATATGAAAAGCACAAGGTAGAAAACAATATATAGTAAGATTTTTTTTTAACTGTAAAAATGAAAAATAATATATGTACATATTTGTTATTAAAAAAATTGAAGACCCAAACAGAAATTAAGTCAAATGGTTAAAAAAAGCAGAGGAAAAAAAGAAGGAACAGGGCAGAAATGGAAAAAGATTTCTGTGTAATCTTTAACTACTGAATCATGTATTAACTAATACAAAAAAATTTAATTTTAAATTTTGAAGGGAAAAATATTAACATCTTAAAAAGCAAAATATAAAAGGTTCTGGGAGTTCTGGTAGCATAGTATCACTACAGAAGTAGATTGCCCAATCTTCCTTTCAAGGAGTGGCTGGTGGGTTTGAACCGCCAGCCTTCTGGTTAGCAGTCAAATGCCTTAGGCACTATGCCACCAGAGCGCCTTCCATAGTGATACTGCCTCGGAAACCCAAGGAGGTGTCACTATGAGTCAAGTCCAACTCAACAACACATAACAACATAGTGCATTAGTATCTTCTAAACCGAAAGACAGACTAAAAAGAAGTACCTAAAAATGTTGTCACAAAGTTAATGATGGTGGTGTCCGTCTTTGGATGGAAGGATTATGAATAGTATTTCAAGCAAATGAAATGTTTACTTTTATGATTAACTTCCAAGAACTTAAATATGAAGTCTTAAGCTAAAAGTAAAATGATTTTTTGATAACATACACAAGTCCATAACACACAAGAGGTCACCATGAATTGAAGTTAACTTGAAGACAACTTTTTTAATTACATAATTAAAAATACTTATTTAAACCTTTACATACTTACATTAAAAAAAAATGGTTCAGACTTGACTTTTTAAAACTATGCTATTTTAAGAAAAATTTTAAACTTAAAAACTAATTCAATTAAATATTAACAACAGTCACACAATTTTCCAATGCTGCTTCTTCCATAGGACTTTTCTGTCAATGTAATGTTCTGTTTATATCCTACATATTTATATCAAATGGGAAAATGTCTATGAAAGCCCATCAAAAAGTATAAAAGGGTGACACGGGTTTATCAGTCATTTGATACTCTGACACTCAGGCTGTGGTTAACTGACAGTTGAATGGAAAATATTCAGGTAAATAACAGAATGATGTCTAATTTAACTGGTAATAAAACCATTGTGTAATTAAACCAATTGTCGTTAAGTCAATCCCAATTCATAGCAACCCCATGTGTGTCAGAGTAGAACTGTGTGCCACAAGGTTCTTAATGCTGATTTTTCAGAAGTAGCTGGCCAGGCCTGTCTTGCAAGGCTCCTCTAAACCAAAAATAAACAAAACACACTGCTGTTGAATCAATTTTGACTCACAGCGACCCCTCCTTGGGTTTCCAAGGTGGTATCGTTACAGAAGTAGATTGCCTAACCCTCCTTCCGAGGAGTGGCTGGTGGGTTTGAACCAACAGCCTTCTGGTTAGCAGTCAAATGCCTTAGGCACTACACCACCAGTGCTCCTAAGGCTTCTCTAGGTAGACTCAAACCTGCAACCTTCAGGTTAGAAGCTGAGCAAGTTAACCAAGAAAGTTAACAATTTATAGCACCCAGGGACTCTAATGTGTAATTAGTTTCATAACAAAACAGAATGCATCAAATTAGATGCTTATGAAGTTAATGCAAAGTGATTTAAGATGAATTTTATTTCCACAAAATATTCACGTAGCACCTTAATAAAAGAAGCAAAGAACGAAACCAAGGGGAAAAAGAAACTAAATGTAGTACTTACAGCTAAAGTTACAAATTGCTTCACAAATAATTATTTGGACTGTGTTGGCTCTGCTGGCTACCATCACAAATCTAGTAATTTAAGATGACAATGTTTGCCGCTAACTATCATGCGCTACACATACTATGAAAGAGACCTATTTTTTTCCTAATATTTTCCTGGACACCAATATCAAAGAAGCATTTGCTTCAATTTTACCGTGATCCTCTGATGATCCAATATTTTGACTGTCTTCTACAAAATTCCAAAATTTCTCTTGACTGTTTTCTGCTAAAAATTCACTGGGAGAAAAAAGGAGAAATGTCAGAAATAAAACAACTTAATAAAATCTTCTGTTATAAGCTATATTACTTAAGAAAGTAAAAACAAGTTTTCAGTTTCCAAATGTCTGTTGTTTGGCTTTTAACTTATACTATCTTAAGAGATATTTCTTAAGAAACCTGGACTTCAAAAGGAGGTCCCAATATAAAAGAAACTTATGAAATCCCATTAGTGAAAATGACATCTGGTAAAAGCAGAATTGGGAATTGATAATCTGAGTACTAGTTCTGTTCACTTATTTTCTAAAAGGCTTTAGAAAGGACAAAAACATTTTATCTGAAGTTCTCCCACAGGAAAACACGAGCTCTTGAAAAATTTCTAGGAGACTAAAAGCTGTATGTTGTAATCTATTTTATATCTATAATTACAAGGTTTCAAGATCACTAAATTTTAGTTTGAAACTAAACCCACTACCATTGAGTTGATTCCAATTCAGTGACCCCCCCCCCCATTGGGTTTCCAAGCCGGTAAATCTTTACAGAAGTAGATCGCCCTGTCTTCCTTCCCCAGAGTGGATGGTGGGTTTGAACCAATCTTCTGGTTAGCAGTCAGATGCCTTAGTCACTGTGCTACCAGAGCTCCTTAGTTTGAACTTAGCACTAATACAATAAAATCAGGTCTTAGAAATTAATGCCATCTTCAGTTTTTCCCTTGACTTTACACCAGTGAACTAAAATAATGACCATTTTAATTTCTTTTCATTCAAGATTCTGAAATCCCTAACTGAATACGCATGTACTGACTGAATGACTAATGTAAACTGTCTTCTCCTCCAAGTCATAATACTAGCGTAGTAGTTATCTTTCACTGTCTTAAGGCAAACTACAGATCTGAATCTTAGCTTACCTAGCCAAAGGAAGACTTTTTCATTACTTGTGAACACTAGGTGTACAACTTTCACTCTACGCCATAGCTAGACACAGAAATATTGGAAAAATAATAAACGCTTCCTGGTAATACATAGCTTCTGAATAATTTTCTGAAAACAGCACTACCATAACGTAGTAAGGAGCTCTAGTAGCATAGTGCCTAAGGCACTTGACTGCTAACCAGAAGGCTAGCAGTTCAAACCCACCAGCCACTCCTCAGAAGGTTGGGCAATCTACTTCCTTAGTGATATCGCCTTGGAAACCCAAGAAGAGGTCGCTATGAGTTGGTCCGAGTTGATGGCACATAACAACAACATAATGTAGTAAATTACTGTGTCCTTGAGCACCGTAGTGCCTAAGACACTTGACTGCTAACCAAAAGGCGGATGGTTCAAACCTACCAGCCACTCCTTGGAAGGAAGATTGGGCAATCTACTTCCGTAGTGATGTTGTTGTTGTTGTTATGTGCCGTCGAGTCAGCCCTGACTCATAGCGACCCCTCCTTGGGTTTCCGAGGCAGTATCACTACGGAA